GGCTGTAGATGAGAACTTCATAACCGCTAAGCTTGCCTTCCGGGGAGTTTTCCCCGGAACACGGAGGCTATTACACCATTTCGTCCATGCCTTTAAATTAAAGGAAAGATGCTGCGCACGTTACCGTGAAGGGTTCTAGGAGCAAGCTCGCCTTGGGCAAATTGCCTTTGCGTAGGTCTATACAAGGCTTGGTCGTGCAGCAACAACTTCAAAAACTGAAAGAATCTAAGCTTCAGGAGGAAGGCCACCTTGTGGATCATGGCCTGCAGCAAGAGTTTTCAGCGACAGACCCCACCGACATGATTGCCATGCTTGCTAACGAACACGCAATCAAGTCGCAGTTTTTCGAAACCACACATTAACTTCATGGTGGAGGCTTTCACTGGAAGTTGTACCGCTCGGCAGGAGCACTAGCTCTTGCCGATGAACGGAATGGCGGTATCTCGTGTCATTGAGAAGCCACCGGAATTTGGCAGGGCTGGCGACGTTCACGATAAGCCGATGCAGCGAAACCCCTGTAAATGTGACTTTACGAAGTTCTTCTCGAAAGAATGAAAAGTGCGCCACCAAGGCTTGGAGGAAGTCAACTTCCGTCAGCCACGGAGTGTCAGGATCCAATGTCTCTAGCAGCGTTCTCGCTGCGTTTTCGGACATATCCGGCTCTAAGAGAAAATCTCTCATGGATCTGACATCCTGCGGCGCTGATCCTAGAGTGCCTCCATTGTAGAACTCACCAAAGGATGCCTGCGTGCGAGAAGAGTGCCTCTTGCGAAATTTGTTCATGATGACAGCAAGCCATTTGCTTCCCGCGGTCCGGCGGTTGTTCACGTTTTGGTCGTGGACCATAACAATATGCATGGCATCCAGCGATAAATTCCTGCAGATTTGGCAGAACTTCTTTCAAGGTCTGGAACAGCTCCGCGGAGGGATCATCGGATGCCACATGCACGACCTGCCCACGCTGTGCATCTGTAAACTTCTTTTTCAAGTCATCTGCCAGAATGCGTGATTTCTCAGATCTGATTCCGCGCAGTGCCAAAGTTGCGCCGGTGCGGCGGCGGCATGTCATGGTTCTACACGCGGCTTCATCTTCTGGGCTAATGGCCTGGGACCGAGTCGATACAGAAGAGTGGAAGTTTGCCTGGCCTATGATCTTTAAATTGATTTTGAACGTCGCACGTCTGCGAAAGGAGTCGCCGTCGAATGCAAAGGCCGACACACATTGTGTCCGACAGTATTCGGGCTGGCATGGCTGTGGGGATCTGTCCCACGGCATGCGTGCTTGCTAAACATCACCAAGGATTTCCTTTTACATCTCGAACTGCCAGAGTCATCCCTTTGTCTGGGGGTCAAGGTTGTCACGTACGACAACATTCTCGTTATGCGTGCAGGCAAAGTCTATGAGTGCACTATGGCACAGCTGATGGATCTACTCGAATCATACCACGGAACGAAACAAACGTTCTGTTTTGATATTGCTTCCGAAGATCCAGACCTCGACGATGTGGAGATCGGGTTTCGCCATCTTCTGGCCGGGTCCTCTTCTGCGTCTTCAATCAAAAATCGACTTGCCTCTATCCGACAGCACCAAGACCCACAGAATGACGGCGAGGTTGACGTCGGGTGGGCTCCCCCTGAAAACCGTTATCATACGCATCAGTCCAGCTAGGGCAGCCAGTGGTCTGGTTATGCGAACCCGTCTCCGGTTCCCATTCCCTCGGTCCTGGTGCGCCCGGGGACTTCGGATGGCCAACTGCTTGATGGTCTGTCCCTCCTGTCTCCGGAGGTCCGCCAGCGGCTCTGGACCATTCTGCACGCGATGGAACATCGCAATGTGGCGTCCCCTCCGGGACCTCCTCCCGACCCGCCGGCGCAGGGCCGTCCTGGTCGTAACCCTCCGTCTGACCCCGCTCCGAAGCGACTGGCTTTCCCGGAGACGAGGACTTTTGCACCATTGTCGGGGCAGCAATCCGCGCAACACAGGCGCAAGCTGGATATTTGTTTCCACCAACGGTCTGTCCGTGCTGCCCTTGGAGAGACAGTTCGAGCGGCGTCGATGCTTGGTGGAACATCTGCCACACCAACATACGGAAGCGAAGCGCTTCTGTCCGGCTGGGACCAAGCAGTTGCGGGTCGTAGTGGCGCTATATGATCATGACCGCCTGCATGATCGGACACCGCAACCGACTTTTCTGGCTAGGGCCAGCGAGCTTCTGCGGAAGACTGTCAAGGGCAACATGCCGCGTAATCGCAGCTTTATCGATAAATCCCTTCGATGTGTCTCTCATTCAGACGCGCCTGAGTTTGTCAATATTCGATCTATCACAGAGGCTACGGGTTTACGCAGGGTGGGTAACCTGTTCTACGATCGTGGTTTTGCTGATGCATTCCTCAATGCAGCGGGCGCTCACCATGCCTCTCTGCACAAGATACAGGCATGTTTCCTGGAGAAGTGCAGAAGGGACGATGGAAAGCTGGCGTCGGTTATTCCGCGTGGCAACAATGGCTTCTGGATGAACGTCCTTGAAGACCTCATGATGTCACCTCTCCTTGAAGCATATACGGCAAGGCTCATGGACCGATGCGCAGAAGCTGAATCTGAAGAATTTAGGCACATCAGCCTAGAAGCGACAACCTGCTATAAGTCCGCGCCGAGAAAAGTTATCGCAGCTGGAATCGAGTTCGGCGTGGCAGTCAAGAGTTCACGATAGGTTCCCAAATCTGCATCAACATCGCTCTCTTGAAGCTTGTTGGGCAGCCACACGTCAAAGGAAGGCAATGTCTTATTTTTAATCGCCACCTCGTTTCGCTTTACTGCTTCTTGCAAGACCAAGATCATGTTCTTTCCTGTTGCCGTCTCGCTGAATTCACCATAGAAGTGCTCAGCAGAAGACCATCAAAATGACAGGAGACATGACCATCGAAGCCATGTTGCTGGACCTCTTCGAGCATGACCTGTAGAATACTTCTGCCGGGTTCCACCAAGCCGCAAAAATGCTGGCTTCCGGCCAGTTGTTCTTGGAATGACGTCGTAGTTGACCGTATTCCGCTTTCATCTGCGAGCGTGCCAACCAACGCAAGAGTCGGCTTTCATTCGACCGAGCTTTCAAGAAAGTTACGCCCTGCTTGTTCAACTCTTCGAACTTATGATGCGATGCTCCGTTGGCCACCTCCAGTGCACTTCAGATGATGATGAGCAGAACACACAGTCGCGCGGTCCTTTGCGACAGCGCGCCCTGAGGGTATGTCACAGTCTGCGGGTTTGACCAAGTCAAACAACTGAGAACATAGAAGCCGCGACGTCGTAGTCTGTGGTATCTGGACAGCAGATGGACCGTGTCAGACAACATAAGTTCTGAGCTCCAACGTCTGATACAAAACGGCGACACCGAAGATCCATAGGGTAGAAGTACGATCGCTGTATGGTCACACTCTGGTCGCTTGCATCCATCAAGTCTTGCGTTGCATCCTGGATCTCCCGGTACAGAGTGCGGTCCTTGTTCATCATTTTCTCGAGTGACTGCGGGAGCTTCACATCATCGACATCAGCATTCGTGTTTCTTTTGGGAGCACCCTTCTTCTTGGAAGGACCTTGCACTCTTTTTCTATAAAGTTGAGCCAACGTCTTCAGGTTCAGGCTTCTGGAAGAGGTCGGTGCCAAACGAGAGCACGTGCTCGACATTGTATTCTTCCGTGAAGACGAGGTTTTTGGTCGTGCTTCAGTGGCACAACGTCACCGAGTGCCTTTTCACACGAGTAAGTTGGAAGGAAGATCGTGGTTTGGCCAACCTTTGGCAGCGTAATCGTCGCTGAAATCAGTTTGCCCCGTTTGCCCATGTTCTCAATGACATTCTGCACCTCCTGCTTGTTGAAATTGAACACGAACTTGGATTTGGCAGTCCTCAACTGGTTCAGTGTGAACCAGTCTTTGCGCTCCTCACACAGCCACTGACGGATCTGTTGAACAGCCTGCTTTTCTTCATCTCGGTGAGCGGCGATCATGGCCTGAGCTTGAGAGACGTCCTGGTTACCTCTGCCAGTCTCGCCTGAAGGCTCTTTTGACATGAGAGCTTCCAGAATTTCCTGCACCGGATCGGCTGTTGCCGTTTCATCCGGAGTCAGACCACAACTGCGCCGCACGGTCGCCAGAGTCAAAACACCGTCACCGCCACGAACAACATACTTTTCCAGGACATCACGACATTGGAAAGCGGTGCGACTTCGTGCGTAGTTCCACAAGCAACGCAGTGTCACCAAACAGGCAGGCCTGTCCCTTAAGAAATCCTTTAAGGTGGGATCCCGTGGGAAAATCCGACGCGTTGCAGCCAATTCCTGCTTGCCGGCTATGCGGACCTCACCCACGAAGACGCTTTTGTACTTGCATACTGCCGTCCGCCGAAACATGGAGGTCAAGGTCTCTTCTGTGACTCCTGCGAACCTGCCCAGTAGAGAGGAGCTCTAAGTTACAGTCGAACATCAACGAAACATCACAGGCGCGGTTAACTCAATCTGCAACTGAGCGACCTGGGAGCAGTGTTCAGCTCGAATCTGTTCCATCCACGTAGTTCCACCAGTGCCGTGTGTATGGCGTACGGCAGACGTTCTGGCACTTTGTCGGCGGAAATGTGTTTTTTGTAAATGTCCTCTCTCATTGGACGTCGGGAGCCCTGCACACTTTCTTGCCCAGTAACGACGATCTTGCCGACGATGTTGGCCGCTTGCTTTCGCATTTCCTGTCTGGATACGTTTTACTGGACTCAGATACAGACGTCTCGTACAACCACTATTGTATCTTCTTGTTTTACAGTTCTATTATGGATATGTCGCGATTTGTTCATTTTCGTGCCTCGTCGACAAAGTAGATGTTCATGTCCAGACAGGTGTGGTATTCCCCAAGCATTGCCTCCAAGTGCGCCGTCTGGAGACTTTGGCCCACACCGCCGGCACCGATACCCCAGAAGGCACGGTCTACGTTCTCACCTCGAAAGGCGAGTGTGAAGGAGGCCATGAAGACTTCGAACGCATCTGCATTGCCCCAGTACGTAGTCTTCCAGAAGCGGGGTACCCTTTCCTTCGCCTCGTCCGCGACCGGATCCAGCATTCTGTGCGGAAGGTAGACATAGACATTGTTGGGTGCTGTTCTAGGAACTGCCTGCAATCCATCATCAGTGAAAACGAAGGGGGCATCGGTTGTGCAAAAGCCACCAGGGGCTGCATGTTGAGAGAACACCACTCAACGTAGTACTTGATGAGACTATCCACGCAAATCTCGAGCATCTGCAGAAAGATGTATTCGGGAATGTCTATCATCCCTTCTCCAGCTCATCAACTTCTCGATCTTGTCCTGCATCATCGGAACGTCCACAATGAGCGGCTGCGGCACGTTGTCTGGATGCAAGCACACTATCCTGAGTTCTGTCACGTTGGCGTAGATGTTCACTTGAACCCGATAGTGCCAAAGGACGGAATCCGGAACGTTGTTCAAGGGGAAGTGCATCATGCGTCCGTACGCAGCATCTTTGGAAGCAAGCGCCTTGGTTCTTTTCCAGTCACCGCATCGATGGAGCCTGCGACATCCTCTGCTTCACTGTAAACACACCATTCTGTTCTGAGTATCATCCATCCTTCCGCCTGTAATCCGCGTATGACCTTGATGAACATGCGCATCTCCTCCGAAGAAAGACACACCGTCCCACCGTTCAACAAACACTCGCAGCATGCATGCATCCATGTGCCCTGAGCAGCAGCTGTTCGTCGATTCCTCTCCCATTTGTCCAGGATTTCAGCGTCCGTCATGCTGACAGCCGAAGCTAGATAAGAACAGCCTGGGTGAGTCCACACAAGATCACGGATAGACCGACAGATGGCTCCGATATCTGTCACCTGTGCATCTACCAAATGTCTCAGGATCAGCGTCGAAGGGTCATCCGGTAGATGTTGGTTTATGACCTCCACAACATTGGCCAGTTTCTGCCGTTGCGCGTTGCACGGAGTGCGTCAGCAGGATTGAATTGATGCGTGCGGCCATGAATCAAGCTGGTAGCCGACACGCTGACTCTGCGCCCTTCCCAAGTGTAGATATGGTCCGTGTCCTGAAATTGCAGATTGCGATCTCGGGGGTGAGGATTGACGCGACTCAAGACATCCAACACATTCATGCCTCCTAGTTGTGTGGTGTCAAAGCATGAGGGAGGCTCCAACACAATCGAACGCGGATATCTGTGCTCTCTCAGAGGTGGCAGAACGGCATCCAACTCCACGTCGACCAGACCAAAGCTGCCAGGTATCCTCATGGCATTTCTGTCAATCGCGAAGAATGTAGACACGCCATGGTCTTGAATTGAAAGTTCAAGTCTTCGCAAAAAAATTTGGTCCATGTCATGGGAGCTCGTGATGTGGCTCTCCGATGCTGCATACACTAGCTCCTGTTGCATTCTGATACGATCGCATAGTAAACCAAATGCAGCAGTCTCGCCTTCGAAACTCACATACAATCGCAACAATGCGCTCAACCGTCTCTGCTCTATGTGCATCCGTTGTTCACCTGGTCCAGATGATCCACCGAGACGATCTTCCAGGAAACCAGGAAGGCACGCCAGGCACGGCCTTTCAATTCGCAGTCGTGAAGTCTCCATGCTCTCCATGGAGGATCCTGCCAGACGATCCTCCATAAAGGTTTCTGGAAGGCATGAAAGACAGACGTTTGTGCCTGCGAGGCCGTGCTGCTCGCAAAACCAGTGTTCGCAGTCTTGACAGCACGCCACACTTCCGTGCGGCAATATGCACATGTTGGGTGCCCGAATTCTGCCGAATACCGAAAAGGAAGACTAGTCACTTGGAAGCCCTGCGGACGAGCTCGGCGGAGCAATACACATTGCTGCAGGACGAACCCACGGGTCCAGGCTCTGCTCCAAAGTCAAGGGAACTGTGGCAATGCATTTCTGATCCAAGGAGAGTTCAGAAAGTCTGTCTTCTACTCGAAGTGGTACGTGTACGCAGAGTTCCTAGCCAGGGTCATGTCCTTGCGAACGGGGGTAGTAACCTGCTTGCCATCACTGAGCCGGAAGGCTAAACCACCATCTGCTGCAAGTGGTTTCCGCCACACTATGCAGGTGCTGTTGTCTGGGGTACTGATGTGTGGAGACCAAGGGCACCGAGCTTCCGACGGAAGAGAAATCTCCAGAAACACCGACCGGCATGTCTGTTTCTGCGATCTCGAATAGGTGATCCTTGTCGACGACGGATGAGCAACCGGAGCCACTCAACAAGGAAGATTTTTCTCCTCTTCCGTGGAGTATGACCTTGTTCCCGAGCACGGATACCACATCCAGCAGTTTGTGTGAGCACGACAGTGTGCGAATGCCCTGTGCCCACGCTTGAAGAAGATTGCCGAAGAAACTGGTTTGACGGAAGCTCACTCTCAGGCGGTCACTGAGCTTTAGTTCGACATCGTGCCAGAAATTACTGTGTTGGACAGATTCTCGGAGATCAGCGCTGCAGGTTGCCAAAGCAAGGAAATCATCTAGGCTTCCGAGCCAGGAAGTCTGCAAAGGAATAATTGGAAGCTCCGCCGTCCCACCGCGTAAATCAGCGGAGTCAAGAAAGAAACCTGTCCCCGTCTCTGTATAGGCAAGAAGCAACTGCTGGTCCTGCCGGGCTCGGATGGTGAGTCATCTGTTCCAAACAAAGATATTGTCACCTCAGCCCACTGCTGCACATCGCAGTCCTGAAGTGGAAGCATTCCGATCCGATGGCCATCCAGAAAGACTTGCAATCTCTTGTTCCACCACTGGACCTGCGCGAGTCGCTCTGGCCTGAGTGCCGGGAAAACAGCGACGCACACGTCGTTGGGGCGTCCAAGCCGATTGTGTCCCAGCTCAATGACCACGGTGTCATCGAAAGGTGCGTTGATCTCACACCAGCAGCAGTCGCCTGCCGGATCGGAGCTTCCCACAGAGATGACGAGTCGCTGTGCGCTGTCCGTGCCAGACAGCTGGAAGTGCACAGGAGAGACCGCGGGCTGTCGCGACTTCCATTTTCGGATAGTTGATCCGCACACAGTCCTGCAGGATTCGCGAATGGGCCAATCCACAGCGATGATGCGAGAGGATGCTATTGCTCCGGCAAGCAATGAAATCCCGGCCCCATGCCAGTTCGCTTCGACAGCCTCTGCAGGCAGGATACCTGCATGCCTGTCGGCCCAGACATCTGGCGACGTTACCAGTTTACGTGTTTCTCGACAAGCACGTGCGCACAAAGTCCTTGATGAGATGGACTGGGATGCTGTCCAGGCTTCCACCGGCAAGGTCTGCCCCGGCGTCTTGGGAGGCATCCGTGTCCTGCCGACAACTTTTGCATCGTGCACATGCATAGTGGATAAGAGCTATGTTTTCTTTCTGACTTCGATGTAAGATAGACAACTAGTCTCAAGTGCTTCGGCTTAGGCTTGTCCAAGTGCGCTCGCTCCTCGATGCAGAAGAGCCCAGAGCATGCAGCAGGATCAATGAGCCACTGGCCCAGATCTTCCGAGAAACCAGTGGCGACGCCCGTTTGCCACCGGCATGCAGACTGCCATTCGTGGCTTCGATGTCCGTGGTTGACCTCTAGGCAGCCGTCCTTCTTCCGGAGACCGCTAAAGTGATTGCCGATGGTCAGGATGAACTGGCCATCCGCAACCATGGATAGACGACTCCACGTGGCACGGACGACCATTTTCCTCACGTGTTCCGCGCACAGACAGTAACGCAGACCACACCGCTCCCGTGAGACTCACACGCTCCTGGCACGACTGTTGTCCGAGAGGCCCGTATGCCTCGAGAAAGTTGTTGCCATCATGCATGCCCCAGAAGGGTCCGTCTGCCTGGTAGCCGCACTTGTACCCGTGGGCACGCAGCACGTCCACCAGACAGACGTCCACATATCTCTTGTCAGCCCCTGCCACCGGACAATTTCTACAGACTATCTTCTTTCCTCAAGAAACAGCTCTATCACTCTCTATCACCGGGGCACAAGGTGGGAAGTCGCGTGTGTGGGACTTCTTTCGGAGCGCCATGCCTGAACATGACAGTGTTCCTACGCAGATCCTTGCTGTATGTGTGAGTCAACCAGCAGGCCTGACCGCTGGTGCGTGCGCTTGCATCGACGTGCCCAGATGTGTCGCGGGATCGACCTCCAGCAGAGCTCGGCCTGTGGCGACTTTCGCAATTTGTTGTACAGGGCTTACAGTCTGCGATGAAACTACCGCTGCTTCCTTCCATTTACGGCCTTGGCAACGGGCAACGTCGAAGTGCTGGGCCAAGAAGCAAGAATCCCTGCCGATTGCAATGTGTCATGGCACAGCACGGGAACTCACGACTTCAAGCTAGACCCATCCCTGTGCATGTGCGGGAGTTCCTGTCTTGACTGCAGCCAAATCACTCGAACGGGTCCACAAAGTCTTCGGAGTTTGTACGCGGGATACACCTTGTGCGATGTGATCCAATATCACATGATAGATTCGGAGTGCTAGGCTCCTCCCTTGCATCAAATCTCATTGTTACTTGGATGGATCTGTGCTTGCTTGAGGCTGGCACGCATCGTCCGCAAACCAAGTGCACATGGAAAAGGCGACCATGGTCCTCGGGGGATTCATGTTCTTCGAGATGCATCAAACTGCAGTACGGCGTGCGGTTAAGAAACACGGAGATCGGAAGTGTAATCGCTGAGAGTATGCTGGTAGTTGGAGCCGAGATCACGCTATTCTGAGAGGTTCGATCGCACGCGATCAACCCATGTAGAATGTTCGACAGCACCGACCCCGATGAGCTGCGAGCCATATTCTCGTCTGAAATGTTGGTGATTTCGGGTTCTAGACTGCACAAAGTGGCAGCTTCTGATTATCAAAGTGAGGTGTGTGTTAGTGATATGCACAGGCAAGACATCAGCAATCAGTCAGGGCAGTCTAGCATGAAGCTGTCCCTGTGTCTGGATCTAGGCATGCAAGTGGGACTGCAACTTGCATCAATATGCACGGGCCTGATTGGCATAGACTTTCGAAGTCCTGACCTTGGGTAAAAGGCAAGGGATGACCTTTCGGTTTAACCGAAGCGTGCTTGTTTACCTTTGGCAGGGCCGAGACCGAGTCCTTAGCGTCTTTAGTGAGAGAAGCTGCTAGACGTGTTGGTTTAATTGAACTAGGCACATCAACTATGGGGATCAGGGAATGGAGTTAAGGCTTTTGGCTTAGCCAACTTGGCTGGGGCATTTCACAATTATGTGACATAGCAGCCACTTTGTGTGTTTCCATCAAACCCAGTCGCTCCCCATGTAGACGCTCGATTTCACAAGCATCCGCTCGATATGCACATCCGTGGCAGCAGAACACATCAAACCCAGTCGCTCCCCATCCAGACGTTCGATTCCACAAGCAACTGTTCGATATGCGCATCAGTGGCAGCAGAACACACCAGAGCCAGCCGTCTCCATCTAGACGCTCGATTCCATATGGCACCATCTAATCGTCTGTGAATAGACGTTGCTGTTTCGCATGTATTTCCCGAGTATGGACGCCGATTAATGCATATTACAACGCGGCGATGCGGGATAAGGAAACCACTAGTAGGTCTGGAAGCACTATCCTTGGTCATGTCCGACCCGCCTCCATCGCAGTGTTACACAGCGTAGCCGTCGAGGCCTGCTGTCAAACCATTGGCGTGAAATGACTCTGCCAGCTTTGCACTGCACGAGCCCTTGCGCGGCGAACGGCAGGTGCAAGACCCAATGTACAAGGGAGGTGCTCTTGTCAAGAAGGCGCTCACTCATGCAGGAACCTTCTTTTCCAGATGCCCTCGCATCTAGGGCTTGCGAGACAACGGCGCCCAGGCGCACGTCCCGACCTTGGGTCGGTGCGCCTTCGTGGCACTTTTCCACCCCCTACGCAGCTGCTCACAAGCTTCGCAATATCGCGGATCAGTCTTACTGAAACCCGGATATAGCTCGCCGTGAGCATCTGGCTTGCCTTTGTGATCGGGCGCTGACTCACGGGCGGGATCCAGGGTCGCCTCTCGCGAACACCTTGTCCTGTCGGTTTGCCGCCTTTACAAGCCGTGCCGGACACCTCGGGTGTGACAACGGCTGCGCTCTTCAAAACTGGGGCGGGGGGGGGTCACAGACTTGGGCGGGGGGGGCACGACCGCCTTAGCCGGTGGCACGCCGGAACCCGTAGCCTTAACTTTGCTCCCTGGCGAATCATCTTCCTTTTCGCTCTCGCTCCCACTCGACTGCCAGAGTATCGAGCCCGAGGAAAAGGAAGAAGAACGCTCTTCCTCCATCGTGTCCAGCTCTTCTTCCTTCTTCTTGATGGTTTTTCGCATCGCCTTGAGCTTGTTGCACTCTTTGCGTATCGTGTCCTTCTTCTGGATCCACTTGGCCTTCATCACGGCCAAACTCAAGCGAATGGTTTTGCCATCCGAAGGCATGCTGGGCAAAGATTGGATGGGGAATGTTAGGAGCGAAGGCTTTTGCGCCGATCTAAATTGCGCGATACGCTTGCTCTGCTGCCAATGTTGCTGTGGAAGACTTGCGGACACACGACAGACACCCAAAGAGCATAAGCAACCGCGCTTTCTCCGGACTCGTTAGTTGTTTGTCCCAAAGCTGGCGAGTGCATCCAGTTACATACACAAAGCAGTCACACACACAATTTGGAAAGTTAATCTGATTAAGATAGTCGCGATAGTCATCGAGATTACAGTACAGGCGATAACGATGACGCTGATGAAGATGAAGATGATGGAGAAGATGAAGATGATGAAGATGATGGAGATGGTGGAGATGATGAAGATGATGAAGATGATAGAGATGATGAAGATGATGAAGATGATGAAGATGACAAAGATGATCAAGATGATAAAGATGATAACGATGATAACGGTGATGAAGATGATGAAGATGATGAAGATGATGAAGATGATAAAGATGATGAAAATGATGAAGATGATAAAGATGATAAAGATGA